AGAGAATATTGCCATAAAGGACTATTATTAAAAACTTGGCTAGACCTGTTCTCTCACTTCCATTTCCTTGGGTCCTCAGAGGGTCCTTGCCTTGATCCTTTTTATGTATATGCTTTGCTAGAGTGAATTCAGCTAAGATATCTTTAGCTACCTGTTTTTGCCCAACACTACAAATCAGCTTGGACACACAGAACACCCCATAGTGCAATTAAAAACCCAGAGTCACCCCTAGACAAGATAGTTGGAATATAAATCTAATGTTAATAAATAAATAAATGTTAATAGCATTTGTTATTTTATATACATGATTATATTTGACATTAGTTTCCTCATGTTTACATTCTACTTCAGGCTCTTTTTTTATCCTATCTGAATTTCTCAGATATACAGAATGGTATTTTTCCTTTCACATTAATCTGTATTTCCTTAAAACATAACAGTTGCAAAACTGAACACATCTGCTCTTTCATCTATCTTAGTAATAGGCTATGATCATTTACTTCTGAATATAAATAAAGGTAAAGTTTACCAACTGATTAATCTGAGAGCTATTTAGTTTGAACAAACATCTCTCCTTTTGTATTATTTCTAAGTTTGCTGTACAAAATACAAGTTGACCTTATATTCCTTTGTGATACAATGCAAATTTTACAGGAATCTGTCTTAGATTTCCTTCAGTCAAGCTTCATAAAATTTTAGGTCTCCAGTTTTGGGGGGGGGAGTTGGTTACATTTTGACATAATGGAAGGTTGCTGTATTTGTATTGTTAGTCTTTGTTTCCATTAGAGGTAATTCTTGACATACAACCATAATGGGGACCAGAATTTCCATTGCTAAGCAAAGTTGCTAAGTGAGTCACACATAATTTTACAAGCATTTTGCCATGGTTGTTAAATGAATCATTGCAGTTAAGTAAATCATGTGGTCCCTCCCCCCCATTGGAAGCTGGCTGAGAAGGTCATAAATGGTAATCACATGACCTCAGCAGGCTGCAACCATTGTAAACACATGCCAGTTGCAGGGTGTTGAATTTTGTCCATATGACTATGGCAATGCTGTAATGTTTGTAAGGGCAAGTCATAAGTCACTTTTTTCAATGCCATTGTAACTTTGAATGGTTACTAAATGAATGGTTCTTAGTTGAGGACTACATGTGCTGAATAAGGGTATAAGATTTTCATTTATCATAGTGATAGGAGAATAGTTTAATTTTTGATCTTGATTTGCTCATTTCTCTTGAGCTAAACATGGTTTTTTTGCTACATTGTATACTTTATAGAATGTTGTATATATTCTATTAATTGTATTCTAAGAAGACAGCCGGTTTGGTCTAATGGTTAAGGTACCAGGCTAGAAGTCAAGAAATTGAGTTCTAATCCTGCCTTTGGTATGAAAGCCAGCTGAGTGACTTTGGACCAATCACTCTCTCTGAGCCCATGCCATCATGCTCGGGCAATAAGCTGCTTGGTTAATTCCTATGACAACCTTTATTTGGTTGATCCAAATAAAAAAAAATGATCTTGCACTTGCAAAAAAATGTTAAGAAGAAAAAAACTACAGACTGAGAAGTTTGAATAAAATACATATGATGTCATTTTGGACAAAAATGTATGCCCCAGCCATCTTTAATTTCTAATTCCTATATATATCCAAAGGGAAGACAATAGTGAATATAACTTAATCATCACTCCAAAAGAATGGAACATACAAAACAGTAAATAAATAGGGTAAAAATAGTTCAGAAAATCCACCTTTTACATCTTATCAATTTATTTATTTATTTATTTATTTATTTTATTTGATTTATATCCCGCCCTTCTCCCAACAGGACTCAGGGCGGCTCACAACATATTAAAAAACATAAACACATTTACAACCCCACCCAAGTAAAACCAATTAAAACCGAATATTTAAAGCTGTGCTATTTAAAATTACTCTTAAGATAAACCCGATTTAAAATCCTCCCTAGGCCANCGCCAGCCGACATTGCTTGGCCGACGGCACCCTGAGGAGACTCACTCTGTGGGAGCGTACCGGTCTATGGGAGGGAATCTGTGGCAGAAGGCGGTCTTGGAGATAACCAGGTCCGATGCCATGGAGCGCTTTAAAGGTGGTAACTAACACCTTAAAGCGCACCCGGAAGGCCACTGGCAACCAGTGCAGCTCGCGCAGCTGACATTCCAATTGAAATTCTTCCTTTACCCAATAAAGATTTCCCTGTGAAAGATTTGCACAGGTAGTTGTCAACTAACAACCAATTAGTGACTGTTTGAAGATACAGTGGTGCTGAAAAAATGACTTTAACTGGTCCTCACGCTTAAGATTGTCATGATCACATGATCAAAATCCACATGCTTGGCAACCACTATGTTTTATTATGGTTGCAGCATCTTGGGATCATTTACTGTTACCAACCAAAAAAGTCAACGAAGGAGGCCATATTCGCTTAATAATTGTGATAATTCACTTAATGATCATGGTGATTTGCTTAATAACCCCAGCAAAAAAGTTGTAAAATTGGAGAAGTTGTAAAATTAGAGCCATATCACTTAACAACTGCCTCACATAGCAATGGAAGTTCCAATCCCAATTATGGTTGTAAGTATATATGTATGTACACATGATGCAATCTATGTGGCTGAGCATGCCTGTCAGGTGCCACACTTCAAAAATGGACAGATGAGGAAATTAAAACAATTGAATTAATAACTTATTGTTTATTAGCAATAGTATTTCTGTATTTATTTTGCGCTATCCTATCCTACCCTACCCTACCCTACCCTACCCTACCCTATCCTATCCTATCCTATCCTATCCTATTCTATCTCCTAATATCTCCTGTCTCCTATCATTTCCTATATCTTATAAATTCCTATCTCCTATCATCTCCTATCTCCTATCCTATCCTAATCTATCCCATCCCATCCCATCCTTCTAATTCATAGCTTAATTATGTGCAGAGAAGGAAACTGTGTGTTTCTATCAGGTAAATACAGCATGCAGATAGACAGACAATGACAAACGAATGTTTCCCCCACTTCTCCAAATATGTTTGTTCAGTTATGAATGAAACTAATGAAAAAAGGATTTGATAAGATACCAAGATATGTATTAACCTATAGTTTATTAAATTCACCGATTTTGTATCAACATAATCATCCCAAGTATTATAGTTAACGCAGGCTGGCATTAGCCATCGTATCAACATTTTACTAGAGGAAATTCATTGTGAAAACTGACAAGTATAATCTATCAAAAAAAGTACATGAAGAGAACAAGCATTATGAATCTTTTGACATTGTTTCTTTGAAAGCTTTTGACAGATGGCATAACAGTATTTCTTCACCTCAGAATAGTTAGCAATTAAATACATTCCTCATTTGACCAGATTTGTTTTACTAGCCTGCTTTGGCAAATTGTATAAAAGAAATGTGTGCTCAGCATGGTGGAGAAGCTTTTTACTAATCTGAAATCATTATGCCCAATTTCTAGACACTTCAGGTAATCTAGTTACAATAGCAGACTGAACATAAATAAGTGGATTATACAAACTCGTATTATAAGTCTCAACTTTAAAATTAAAAATTAAAAACAAAAACATTTTAATAGAATTTAAATTAATTTCCAAATGTATTCTTGATTTATACATTTCGTGAATATAAAATATGACTTTGGAATACAGAAATATTGTGGTTCTTCAGCTAATGTACAATGCATCATGCTCTAAAAGTCCTTGAGGTTGCTTTTTTAAAGCTCTGAAACATGAATAATTAGCTATAGCCAAAGATATGGCAATTTTCCCCTTTCCACAAGTTTCCACTGTGCAGAATTTTCTATCCAGTTCTTTCTCCCTTAGAATGACATATTTTGGATATCCCAGGACCACAGTATAAATAGATATTTAAGATTAATAGCCTGTCTGCTTTTAGAGGTGCAAATGAACGTCTATGTTCCAATACTTTATAACAGTGGTGAGCTAATCAGTCAATTACTGAACAGTGGTGAAACTAATATTAATAATGGCATGTTGGTTCACTTTGGCAGAAAACCCAATAGGATCTTGGAAGATTTTTTAATCCTCAGATGACTCAAATGTGTTTTATAATTTTTTACTAATAAATACAATGCTTGGAACACCAGACAACTACTTAGAAACTATAAATATACAAATGAAAGCCCACAAAAGTAGTTAAATTTAAAAATATATTCAGATTGGCTTATTTTAAATTCATGTTTCTGTTACCAATTTAAGGTTTTAAGCAACATATCCTTGGCTAGACTTCGAACATGAAATAGGCATGCAATTTTATAAATATTTCCTAATAGATACAATAGTTGCAATACCATAAAACCATTTGAAAACTATAAACACATAAGTACAAGAACCTTTAAACAATAAGCATTTATTTGGAATGACTTTATCCTAAATAGTTTCTTCCAGTGCATTTTTATAGGATACCATATGCTGAGCCTGGTTGAAGAAAAATACCTCTTATTGCTTTGACACCAAGTTCTGACAATTCGGTCTAGTGGTTAAGGTGCTGGCCTACGAACCAGGAGATCATGAGTTCCAGTTCTTCCCTAAGGATGAAAAACCAGCTAGGTGGCTTTGGATCAGTCAATCTCTTTCAGTCCAACCCACCTCACAAGGTTGTTGTGGGAAAAATAGGAAGAGGACGGAGTATTAGGTATGTTCATTGCCTTGCATTATTTATAAACAATAGTAAAGATGAGATAAAAATCAAGTAAAGGTTTCTTTTCTCTTTTCAACAGGACATAAGGACCAACTGATAGCTCTTACCAGAGATCTGAGTGGATCTTCTGAATATATTTCAGAAATTAATCATAGGCCCATCAAGCCTAGGACCATAGGTTGCTTATTGCCTGTTTTAAGCAATTTAAAACATAAGGAGCGAGCACCTACTGTTGCTTTTTCCCGATGAGAGATGTATGGCCATTTACTGATGGTGTTCTTATTTGTTTGCATGTTCTGATTAAAGGTAAAAGTTTGGTTCCAGAACAGACGGATGAAATGGAAACGGGTAAAAGGAGGGCAACAGGGAGCTGCAGCCCGAGAGAAAGAATTGGTAAACGTGAAAAAAGGCACTCTGCTCCCTTCAGAGCTTTCTGGTATTGGTGCTGCCAGTCTCCAACATACAGGGGACTCCCTGGCAAATGACGACAGCCACGACAGTGATCATAGCTCTGAGCATGCACACTTATGATAAGGCAGGAAGGAATCCTAGCTCTGTTCTCAGGAAAGCCATGTTTAACACAGCGAGCTTATGTGGACATTGATGTGTGCAAGTGACTGACTTTCTGACAATCAAAATGAAAGTAACTTAGGACTTACTATTTCTGCTACTCTTGAACTATTATTATTTTTTGTGCTTAGATTCAGTAAGTGCCATGCCTCCCATGTGCCTTATGAGTAGAAACAGGAGATACACTTGCTTTTGAACATTCCAGATTCGCTTGTCCTTTCAGTGACAATGGAGCAGATATTGTTGCTTTAGCTTGCATCAAACAATGACGTTGCTTTCCACAGTGTCAACAGAAACACTATCTCAAGAGGATAAGAATTATATTTTAACTCTGTATATATCTACTTTTCAGCATTTTTACTTTTCACCATTTTTAGCTGTGCATTCATATTAGCTGACCGCAATAGTCACCCATGAGAATAAATGGCTTTTTTAAATCTATTTTTTTTGTTTTGTGTTTCAGAGTTATAGAATACATGCAGACATTTACATTCATATAACAAGTAGTATAAATGAGTCTGCTAGTTGAAATCCTTATACCACAGACAAAACAAATTTTATGTTGCATTTACTATCAACTGCTGCTAATAGGAAATTATTAAACCTTGTTCCTCAAATCTTCTTACTTTCTAACAGCAAAGGTATTTTTTAAAGAATCATGCCTATTATGAAAATAAAACTAAATTTTGATTAATAATTAGAATTTATTATTACAATAATATAACAGGCATATGATTCTTGTAGCTGGATATAATTCAGAGTAGCATCAGTATATCCAATAAAGCTGCTTAAAAATGAATTGTGAACAGTATTTTCTTACAAATGGGAAAGTTGTTACCTTCCATTATTTTGTGTTAGTAATCAGGTATTAATTTTTCAATATTAAGTATTCAAATTAATAAGGTAAAGTTCTCTGTGTTATGATCAAGTTTTATTAAATATGTTTGTGTACAGAACACAAAAATAAGGATATTTTCTCCCCTTTTAAGTTTTTGTGTATATACAATGAAATAGGAACAATCCAAAAATTTAAACAAAACATTGATTGTACTTTGTAAAGGAAATGCTTAATAAATGTTCCTTTTGAATAAGACTTGTTCTTCTTTAGAGTTTTATGGACAATTCAAAATATTAGAACCATAATATTCTCTATGGTACCTGTGTTTGCATTATACAAATGGGGCACTTCATATTGGATAAAGCTTTTACCTTGATCCAGTGGGGAAATTCTTTCCTCTAATAGGAAAAAGCAATCCGAAAGAAGCCTTTTGCCAAGAACAACATGGACTATGCTAAACTACTTTTCCAGGTTTCATACAACTGTGAAATGGATATTTTTCTTGCACTTACTTTCTGGAAATGGAAGGAGGGAAATGGCAACTTTAAAATGTGGTGTAAATTAAACAATCATCTATTATGATCACAACTATTTGAAAAGACATAAGTCACCCAACATTTTTAAAGAAAATAAATTTTAATAAATAAATATTAAATGGAATTTAACTAATAATAATGTAATATCCCATCTCATCATAGAATTTGTCAGAAGAATAATTTGGGAGTCCAACTTGAGCAGGGATTGCACAAGAATAAATAAAAATGAGATCCAGACAGTTGTGAGGAAAGAAGAAACATTTATTCCTAAAAGCAAAGAATTTGCTTTTAGTGGCAGCTGCAGCGAAATGGGGTACAGCAACACAGTTTTTATATGGGACCTTGTTCTGGTGTGAAAATGTCAACATGCGGGTTTTAGGGTGATACTTGAGATATTGTGTGTGTGTGTGTGTGTAGGTATGTCTATGATGTTTCTTCTTGTGAACATGCAATTCTGCTGGGAGATCTAATTTAATTTATTTGTGTTTACAGACTTTATCCTTTGATATGTGGATTAGGCCTGATAATTTATTTGGGGGTTTGTGAAAGTCTGAGTAAATTTTCCCCCCCTTTTGCTATTTTACTCGATTAAGTTAGTTCATCTTGACTGTCAATTATCTAGTGGAGATACTGATTCTCAGTCCATTTATATGTGTGTGTGTATATATATATATATATATATATATATATATTGTTGTTTGTCCATCGATTTCGATGAAGACCTTGACATCTTATGGATTATGGGCCATCAGCGGTGTGTTCGTAGATGGCTGATGAGACCGATGTTAGCACAATGTTAGCACAATGGATGAGAATCAGCATCTCCACTAGATATATTTATATACAACATACACATTATTAATGAGCATAGCTTACAACCATACATTTTGTCTATTTGTAACATCATAAGGGAAACATCTTTAGGAAGAGTGGTTCATTAATTAACATTGTTAGGAAAAACAATGCTGTAGTAATTCAAGGTTTTCAATCCTATGTTCTATGGACTGAGAAATTATTTTGAGATGAAAATAATTTGAAAGGGTCAATATAAGACCAATTATCCCAACAAGTGATAACCTTCACATTCTGGTACACCCAGTCTACTACAAGTTTTTCTTGGAGTTTCATTTGATGGGGGGTTCTTTTATAGTCTTATTTTGCCCATATGCATTGTTGATACTTGGTATATCAATAGTAATAGCATATATTAGAGTATGCCAATAGTTACAAGCATACAAACGATTATCCATTTTTCCCACTGTTCCCTTGTTCCATGAGTCCCAGTATACAGTATATCAATCAATTCTATTACTCTTCAGTGATGACACTCTGGTAGGTTGGTTTTGGCATCTGTTGTGATCAGCAGGAAGAGGCGCAGTAGAACATCATTGGTTAATGAAGGCTAACCAAGTTCAATGCTATTTAATTTTCAGTAGCTTGGAGAACTCTTCCTGAAGTGACTATTGAAATCTACTGAATCAAAAGACAATCGTTAGCATTATTATGGGGGAGCCAGGTTCCATTAACACTCACGATACATCTATACCCAGTAGAGCCAAGTCTGTTATTAAGTGTCCAATCAGGTTCCATATTGATGATATTGGGCATTTTTCAGATATATTTCTGTAGTTCTCAATTATGTCCATCAGCAGGAAAGCAGGTTCTTCTTACCACATATGAGGTGTGCAAACCTTCTCTCTTGGGGGAGGGTTTTCTTGCTAGCCATAGATTGGGTGAAGCTCAACAAATTGAGATTCAGGATGGCTTAATTTCAAACTGACTTTAAGTTCCATGGTCAGGCTGTTTACAACCTCAGAATCTGGTAAGTCTCCTGTCATGGGCCTTATCCCAGTTGCTACCCATACTGTGATAGGACTATTTGCATTCACCTATATTTTAAGGCAAGACTTGAACTGTGTTTTACTTGAACTGCAAAGGTGTCTAATGCTTTCCCATTTCTAATAATTACCCAGAATAAGGTTTTGCAAAGTTGGATGGGTACCTGAGAATATATTTATTTCTTGTATTGCTTCCAAACCAAGAGGTAGAAGCATTTTTTTCATGTTTCCGATGGACTATTGTTTAATCAAATACTGTTTTCCCTCCTCCCTTTTTATCCTTACCAGATAACATGTTAAGGAACAAAGATGAAACCCAGTAAATATGCTCTCGTGACTCATTTAGGATTTTTTAAAGATAAAACACAGGTAAAAGCTAAAAAAGTCACACAGCTTTAGATTTTTTTTTCTTACTGGCCCATATGGAGTCAACTATACTGAAATGTCAGTTGATAGGGTTACTGATAGAGGATGGAATGCAAATTTGTCTTGGAGACAGCACAGCAGATTAGGCAACGGTATGCAGATTAGGCTACAACAGTTGGGAAAGCAAAAATGTGCCTTTTTCCTATGGCTGAGAGAAAATGCCCAAAGTCATCAAGGTGGCTTTCATGGCTGAGGTAAGACTTGAACTCACATTCTTCTACTTTCTAACTTGGTGCGTTAAATCAGGGGTTCCCTGGGCTGTGGCCTATTTGGAATTGGGCCACGCAAGTGGCAGACAAGTGCTTGCGTAAATGGCAAATATTTGTGCTCATGAGTAAAGCTCCATTAACGCGAGTGTTGGGGTGCTTGCACTCGCACATGAGGCTCTATTTGCATGGAACCATCCCCTCTTTCCTCCCTCCCCCCACTGCTTTAGACCAAACTGATTCTTATCATAAATTTGTTTACCTTCTTTTCCTTGGTTTTAAGAGAAAGAAAAATAAGTTTAGCAACTAGTCTCCTCTTTGTAATGCCAAATGCATTATTAAGGATACAGCCAGATGCAAATACAACTATCACTTAAATTTTACTACACATCATATGCTAACTTCAGATCTTCTGAATCTCATTTCTTAAACTTTCATACTACTGACTATATATGGTATAAGCTTTTCTCCTGCTCCTTCTCTTCATCTAATCTAGACTACTCTTCTAAAACATGGCATTCCTTTCTCAAACTCCCCTTTCTACATACAGTACAGCTACAAATCATTAATTTTCTTACAAGCCAAGCATATACATTTATGAAAATCAAAGCTGTAAACATGGCACATATGTTTATCTATACATTCCACTCATTTCTTAAATGCAGTTTGCAAATACAATAAGCATTGGCCTAGCATTAGTTTTAATATACTCCATATATATGGAGTTTGGAAATCATGTTTTGCTGGGTTGTGGGTTTGCAGTTTATTCCTCTTAATTAGCACATGTGATAAATAAAACAGTAAGTTAACCAGAATTAATTGAAGAAACCAGCTGATTAAAGTTAGGATTGATTAAATTATCTACTGAACTGTCCTTGCAGCATTGACAAACACATTACAGACAGGAAAACATATTTGATCAAGACACTCACACAAGATTTTCAAAACAGAACTGTCCCATTTTGGGGGGCAAAGGATTAAGAAAAGGATGGAAAAAGAGAAAAGAGATTTCTCTCCATATTGCCTTGCTGGCCAGGCAACCCAGGGTGGAAAGATTATTCCTCACAGTTTTCTTAAAGTCAAGAAAGATTTAGCAGTTGCAAAAGGTCAGAATAGACTGGAGAGTAGAGAGGGATTAAAGAGTTTACCCACCCACACACACAATTTAACTCACTCGTTCCCTGGGCACAACCCTCCCCCCCTTAAAATTTGGAGGTGCTTACAAGAGTTTTCTTTTCAAGCAGCTGTCTGATTCAAAACTCAAAACCCTTTACTACAGGTGCCAAACAGGCAGAGTTTGGGAGCAGCACCTACAGACAAAAATGGTCTTCTGCTAGCTGTGTGAACTTACACAGGCTAGGTCCACTAGCCAGGTTAGTTTTGAGTTCTCATCTGGGATGCCATTCATCAGAATAATAATTTGGGGTTCCAACTCGAGCAGGGTTGCACAAAAATAAATAAAAATGAGTTCCAGATAGGTGTAAGGAAAATATTTATTCCTAAAAGCAAAGAGTTTGCCTTTAAGGGGCAATGAAATGGGGCAGAGAAACACAGTTTTTATAGGGGACCTTGTCCTGGGTATGGAAATGTTAATGTTAAGGGAAGATGGAAACAATTTAAAAAATAAAATATATTTTGATATAAAACTTCTCACAAACTCAAACAAGTTTAAACTTAAGTTTTATTGCAATTTGGCAATTATGTGAACACTAAAAGAAAGTGCACACAATAATCAAGACTGAAATTAAAAGTAATTCTTTTCAGTGTGACCCTTGATCTCAGTGTTCTGTTCTTTTGTTGTACAGCTATATATTATGTGTAACATCTTACTGTGTAGGTTCTTATTCACTTTAAAATCTTAAGCTACCCTTTAATTGTATGACAAAAACTGGTCTTCCTAACATACAGCAACCAGAACTGCCCTGCAAAAATATGAATCACTAAATGCAATAAAGAGATATACAAAACTTTTTTGTTGTCATCTAGTTGTCCAGATTTTAGCAGCTCTGATCTGGTAGCCCTATGTAACTTTACTTAGTAGTTAGGCAACATTTATACAGATAATCCTTGCCTTACATCCATTCATTTAGTGACAGTTCAAAATTACAATGGCATGTTCTGATTAAAGGTAAAGTTTGGTTCCAGAACAGACAGATTCTATCATGGTCATATAATCAAAATTTAGACTCTTGACAACTGACATTTGTTTATAATGGTTACAATGTTCCAGCATT